CCCTGAGGTCTTTTTCAGAGTCACTACTTCCCAGGATAGAGTCCTCTATCATATAAGTATGGCCTACATTCTTTGTTCCTAGATGTATACATTTACATTTAGCCATATTAAAACACATATTGTTTGCTTGCCCCCAGTTTACCAAGTCATCCAGATCACTCTGTATCAGTGACTTGTCACTTCATTACTTACCATTCCCCCAAAAGTAGCAGCAATGGGGATTCATCATCAAATGGGAGTGTCTCTAGTGTTGTTCTGCATGGACCAGTACTAAATGCACAACTATTCAACATTTTCATCAATGATCTGGAAGTAAATATTCAATCACTCTTGATAAACTTTGCATGTGATACAAAGATTAGCAGAGGGGTGAATAGTGATGAGACCAGGGCAGTCATAAAGAGTGATCTGGATTGGTTGGTAAACTGGGCCCATTCAAACAATATGTGTTTTAATACAGGCAAATGCAAAGTTATATATCGAGGAAAAGGAATGCTGGGCTACACCTAAAGAACGAGGGACTGTATCCTGGTAAGCACTGACTCTGAAAAGGATTTAGGGTCATATTGGGTAAACAATATGAACTCCCACTGTGGCAAAAAGGGTGACTGTGATCCTTGGATGTATAAACAGGGGTGTAGAAACAGGAAGGTGATTTTACTGCTGATTACAGCACTGATGGGACCAATATCTGAATTCTGCATCCAGTTCTAGTGTCCACATCTTTAAAAGGATGTTGGAAAATTGGAGAGTGTGCCGAGGAGAGCCACACAAATTATTTGAAAACTGGAACAAATTCCTTACAGTGAGAGACTTAAAGAGCTCCATCTGTTTAGCTGATCTAAAAGGAGACTGAGAGATGACTTGATTACGATGTATAAGTACCTTCATGGGAGAAAATACTGGGTACTAAAGGGATCTTCAGTATACAGAGAAAGACATAACAAGAACCAATGGCTGGAAGCTGAAGCCAGACAAATTCAAATTAGAAATAAGGCACACATGTTTAACAATGAGGGTGGAACAACTACTAAGGGAAGTGGTGGATTTTCTATCTCTTGGAGTATTCATATCAGGAGTGGATGCCTGCATGAAAGATATGCTTTAGTAATATACAAATTATTGGGCTTAACACAGGGGCAACTAGCTGAAATTTGATAGCCTATGATATAAAGGAGGTCAGAATGAATGATCATAATTCCCTGGCCTTAAAATGTATGAATCTATGAATACTTCCATGCTTGAATACAATTGTGAAGAATTACATGATACTGTGACCAGTCAGTATGGAGCAAGGCAAATCATGATGAATACCATGCCAGCTATCTCATTTCTTCACAACTGCATTCAAACAGAGTAACACGTTGTAATAATATAGATACACCCTAATGGGTTTAGCATAAGACAGGATGAAGTTAGGGGAGAGGGGAGTGGGGTTTCCTGGGTGGGGGGCTATGGTTAGGGCGCAGTGAGGGGATGGGTTTTAGAGCTAGGGCTGGAAGCATTTGTCAGCCCCCAGCATTCAAAAATCATGAGTCAGGACCCAAAATAATGAGATTGGCCTAGAATATGACCTAGAATATGAGAGATTTTTTTAAAATAATAAATTTTGGATTCCTTTTCTTTGCCTTCCAGTTTTAGATTACACTGAAATCATATTTCCAGCTTTCCTCAGTAGCCATGAGGGTAGAAGCTTACTTTTTCAGAAAATGAAAGCTGAATTTCTCACCGCTCCAGGAGCTGGGGCTTTAAGAAAAACACCAAATATCACAAAACTTGACCACACTAGATTAGGGCCTAAAGGTAGAGGAAAGCTATGCTTTATTGTGCTATGGTGAGGTTGTGGGAGAGTTTTTGTGAGAGATTAGAATGAGTGTTTTTGGGGAGACAGTGGGAACGTCAGCTCGAGGGCATCTCAGAGTCTGGATTACACAGGAGACTTCCACAGGCCTCTTCCTTGTTTTAGGCTCACAGCTGCATGAAATCGAAGCAGAAAGGCAGCAGTACAATCTAGCAGATGAGATGAGTGAGGGGTAGGGATACAGAGCTAGGATAGAGACAGGATCACGTAGCTAGGATGATGGAGCTTCCTGGCTTTATCTGACTAATAATGAAAGGCAGCAAGCGTATCAGAGAGTGTGAGAGAAACGGATCAATAGAGAGATAAAACCTGAGATGGAAGGAGCAGGAGATGGGGTAGGGGAGAGAGTTATAAAATGTTGCAAATCCTACATTCTATACCCGCTATGTATTCACTTTGTGTTGGTGGAAGGGACTGCACAAGATGTAAAGCAATGGTGAATTAGGCCCAAATACAGAAACAGAAATAAGAGACAGAGATCTCTTGTTAATTCTGCCTTGTAATCTGACCACTGACAGCTCTTCCCCATCCCTTTCTGTCTTCCTAGAAACCCTGTTCTCTCTATATTCCACACTACTGTGGGGAGAGTGTCAGGAAACTGTTAACTCCAGTACCACAGATTCACAGCCTTTCCCCAATAAACTGGCCCAGCATGAGTCCAGTGTGATGCTCAAAAGAGCCCCACCCACTTGCCTTGTCTACATTAGGAGTTTACAGTGAGATAGCTATGTCCATTAGCTTGTTCATTGTAAAAACACACCTTTTTTCTATCACAGACATGGCCTAGTGAAAGCCCTTAACTGGGCTTTCTAATCATGTTAAGTTTCAGAGTAGCAGCCGTGTTAGTCTGTATTCGCAAAAGAAAAGGAGTCCTAATGGCACCTTAGAGACTAACCAATTTATTTGAGCGTAAGCTTTCATGAGCTACTGCTCACTTCATCGGATGCAACATGTTAATCATGTTAAGCTAACTCAATTGAGCTAACACAATAGAAAAACACTATTTTTGCCCATATCCTAAATTAAACCACAAATATTTTTGTCCTTGAAGGTACATTTGTAGAGTGTCCAGATTAGCCCTTACAAATGTGTTAATTACCTCAATATAACTGGCAATCAATTAATTTGATGTAAAAATCTAGTGTAGGCATTCCCTGGGGGTGAGGAGCTCCAAGTGAGTTCCGTTCCCACCTGTGGGCAGGTGTATCATAATATATGGAATCACAATCCTTCTTCAAAAGGAGGTATTTTGTAAAGAAAACAACTACAGACACAAACAGGCTTGTATATTAATTTCAGTCCCAACTTTGTCTCCCTTATTTACCAGGACTGCTCCCTTTCTGGAACTGTATACAGCACACAGAGACATCTAGTGGCTGAATAATATACTGCAAGTAAATATATTTTACTATAGGGAGTAGGATCTAGTGAGCCAGATCAGAGGGAACTTGAGCCTTTCAACATTAGAAAGTTGTACCAATTTAACTACGTACCAGTATTGCTAAAGTTGTACAACCCTTTTACTGTGCATGCAGTTACATTAGGCTGTGTCTACATTGCCACTTTCAGCGCTAAAACTTTAGTCGTTCAGGGGTGTGAAAAAACACCCCCCAAGTGACAAAAGTTTTAGTGCTGAAAAGCACCAGTATAGACAGTGATTTGTTCGGCGTGGGGTTTTTTTATCACCAGGAGAGCTGTCCCCCGGCGATAAAGCATATCTACACTCCCGATGTCATAGTGCTGCCTTGCGGTAATGAGGGCAGTGTAGACATACCCTTAGTATAGAGTTGCTTTATACTATACAAAAAGGGAAATAACTATTACAGATATAAATCATCTTTATTCCAGTGTAACTGTGTCCACACTATGGCTTTTATAAACCAAACCTAAACCTAAATAGTTATACCTATGACTGGGAGCCAGTAATGTGTTCCTGATGTTATGAGAGGGATAGCTCAGTGGTTGAGCATTGACCTGCTAAACCCAGGGTTGTGAGTTCAATCCTTGAGGAGGCCATTTAGGGATCTGGGAGCAAAAATTGGGGATTGGTCCTGCTTTGAGCAGGGGGTTGGACTAGATGATCTTCTGAGGTCCTTTCCAATCCTGGTATTCTACGATTCTATGACCTTGTGGATGGAGGGGTCTAACCGTTACAAATGTAGCCTCCCAACAGGAGTTTTAGGAGTAAACAACTTAATCAGTTTAATGACAGGTTTCAGAGTAACAGCCGTGTTAGTCTGTATTCGCAAAAAGAAAAGGAGTACTTGTGGCACCTTAGAGACTAACCAATTTATTTGAGCATGAGCTTTCGTGAGCTACAGCTCACTTCATCGGATCCGATGAAGTGAGCTGTAGCTCACGAAAGCTCATGCTCAAATAAATTGGTTAGTCTCTAAGGTGCCACAAGTACTCCTTTTCTTAATCAGTTTAAGAGAGTGATGGACAAATTAAGAATGTGATTATATGATGGCATTACTTGTAATGGGGGGGAGGGAAGGAGTCTCAACATCCCTAGGGCTCACGTCTGATTTCTCTCTTATCGCCCTAAAACTCCTGCTTCAGGATTTTAACTGGCCACTGGCAGGGTCAGGAAGAGATTGACCCTCCCTCTCATGTTTTCTGGGACGGATTTTTTTAATCTCTTTCTTCCAAAGCATCAGGGATAGTCATAGCTAAGATGGGACATTTGGCAGGTGGTCAGGGCTTTGAGGTGGTACCAAGCATTCCTCTCTCTCAAATGCTTGATTCCCTGGTTCTTCCTCACATGCTCAGGGTCTAAATGATCATCATATTGTGGGGTCAGGTGTTACCCGCACAAAACTCTCTGTTACACACACTCTAGGGCACTCACCTTTACCCTTCCGTGGGCTCAAGGCATAACCCAGTTAATTTAGGCACCCTAACCTTTTCCCAGTTCCTAGGGCTCCTGGTATAAGGCACCCAACTTTACCCCCTCCATGGGCTCCGGGATCTACCTCTCCGTGGGTTCAGGGTATAACACCAATTCCCTGTGGACTTAGGGCTCTACGAGTATACGGGGTCTTTTACCAGTGAAAGAGCCTTACACAGGAATATCCTTAACCTCTATTTATTAACAGTCACCAAAGCAGAACACACACGCTAAGCATACAATGCTCACCACTCCCAATAAGGCGGATGAACTTTTCCTGCTGGCCAGTCAGGATCAGGTCATCCGGGGACTCCAGCTTCTGCATAGTGTGATTGGCAGGATGTTGAGGTCTGGCAGCTCTGATCCTGGGGCTGTGCCCTGGAGTTGGTTCCAAAGAACTTCCTTTTGGACCTCAGTTTATACAGTGAAATTTGAGTCCTGCTTAGCTATATCTTAACCAATCATTTTATTAAATATTACTAAACAAATTTCTAACCAATCCTAACATATTGTAAAACAATTCTTTAACCAATGATACCCCACTGCCATAGTTGATTTATACCTAGCAAAATTAGTTATGTAACAGAAAGAAACAATCAAAGAACCAGACAGAGATCATACAGACAATAGAGAAGTGGGGACCATAAAGACAAAACAATAAAGAAGTAGGGATTTTGCAACCACCACTGTTGATGATGATTTAGTTGGGGATTGGTCCTGCTTTGAGCAGGGGGTTGGACTAGATGACCTCCTGAGGTCCCTTCCAACCCTGATATTCTATAAGTGATTTCTTGCTACAGAATGCTATCAAAGTTTTCCTTAGAATCATAGAATTAACCTTCTTATGATCTGTTTCAGAGTAGCAGCCGTGTTAATCTGTATCCGCAGAAAGAAAAGGAGTACTTGTGGCACCTTAGAGACTAACAAATTTATTTGAGCATAAACTTTCGTGAGCTACAGCTCAGTTCATCAGATGTAGCTCACAAAAGCTTATGCTCAAATAAATTTGTTAGTCTCTAAGGCGCCACAAGTACTCCTTTTCTTCTTAAGATCTGTTTCTTTATTTGGTGATGGTGGTTGCTATTAGGACAGGATCGCCTTCTTAACAGCCCAATATTACATTGTTTTAATGTAATTTAGATGGAATGTGAGGATGTGACTTAGTGCTTCTTGGCTCATGGCTACTGCTCTCCTAATATGGCTGCAGGAAAAGACCTCAGCCTTACACAGGAAGGAATTTTCCCCCAGGTCAGATTGGCAGTGACCTTGGGGTTTTTTGTTTTTGCCTTCCTCTGTGGCGTGTGTGCAGTTCAGGCAGGGCTGTCCCTACCAATGGTGGTGCCCTACCGCAGCCCCAGCACCTGCACCCCCCGTGGACAGACCGGCCGCTCTGCTGGGGGGCCGTCCCCTCCGCGGGGCGGGGAGGCTGCGTTTAAGGGCTGCAGGGCCCCAGCAGCAGGAGTTGTGGGGGGCAGGGAGGCCCAGGGCAGCACGGGGGTTTAGCGGGGGGCCTAGCGCTAGCAGCAAGAGTTGGGCCCGCCCCCCACTCACCGGTGGCAGCGGGAAGCAGAGTGACCCAGACCCAGCCTGCTTCGCTCCCCCAGCTCCCACCCCTGTCGCTAGAGGAGGGAGCTTGGAGGAAGGGGTCAGAGACCCGCCCCCACACTCACCAGCGGCGGCGGCGGGAAGCGGAGCAATGCGACTGGGAGCTGGCACAGCGGTGCGGACTGGAACCGGGTCGCTCTGCTTCCTGCCGCCGCCGCCGAGTGCAGGGGCGGGTCTGACCCCTCCTACGGGTTCCAGTACCCCCCCTAATCCCGGCGGCGGCATCGCTCGGGGGAGGGGGCTTGGGGAAGAGGTCGAGTGGGGACAGGGCGGGTGCGGAGCAGGGGGGCTGGCTGGGGGATGAGGCTGGCCGCTGGAGCCAGCGCCGTATATGCAGTATGCAGCTGCCTAGGGCACCAAGAAATTTGGTGCCCCAAATTACGTGGTGCCCTACGCAGCTGCATATTCTGCGAATGCCTAAAGACGGCCCTGTGTGCAGGTCACTTGCCAGAATTACCTGGGCATGTGCCATTTAATCATTTCCCTGACACTGCAGGGAAACCAGGCAGTTGTGCACCTTGGTCCCACTCCCTCCTAATCTCTGCCTGTGGCAAAATAGTCTGCTCTCCTGTGGGCTGTAATATTTTTGTCTAATTTTGGTTATTTAGTTTAGTCTGCAGGTGCTGGGTGGTGTTGGTGACCTGTGATATACAGAAGATGATCTGGTGGGCCCTTCTGGCCCTAACCTTTGTGACTCCATGACTAGGTGTCAGGACGCCTGAGTTCTATTTCCTACTCTGGGAGTGGGTTGATATCTGTCCCTGTTGTTCGGGAGAGGAGTTTTGGTGAATGGGGGTTCATTACATTGGTTTAGTTTAGACTAAAGATCTTGGCTCTGTGGGTAAGGTTGCCACCTGCCCAGGTTTTCACAGGATCGTCCCTTTTTTGAAGTAGGTGGCCTGGGAAATCAGTAAAGGTGCTCAGTAAACACTGCCAGCTGGCCAATTTTGTGGGCTCAGGATCATCCCTGATGTCCTGGTGTTTTGTACCTGAGAGGCAGCCTTGTCCATAGGAAGTTTTTCCTGATATCAATAATATAGAAAGTAAGCAATGCCATCATCATCATAGCTAATCGCTCCCCAAACCACAGCCCAGAGCTGGTGTTATCACTTATCGCAAATAGCTCCTCAGGAGTACAGGCTGTTGACAGAGGGCACTGCGTTAGGCAGCATTTAAATGTTTGTCTAGGCTCCCCACATTCACATGTGGGGCCTTTCCTCAGCTTCCATGTGGTTATATTGTCACCCGTCCAGGCTATGCCCTCCAGCTCTGGCTCAATGTAGGGTGCTAGTGCAGGTGCTGAGAGCCATTGAACCAAACTGTAAACCCTGTACAGGATGGAAACCACTTCAAGTCGACACCCCTAGTTCCAGCACCTCTGGGTACAGCAGTGTTTTGTCTGAGTCCTGGAGGAATCAGGTGCTCTAAGATCATAGACATTTCCCTCCATTTTGTTACTCTGCAGCATTCTACAGCGGCGCTTTGGGGACTGTCAGAGCCAAAGCTCTGGCTGCACGTCAGCCTTTTGGGTGGCGGAACGTATCCCTGCAACAGGGCTCTGAGCTCACACTGCGCTTCGCGTCTCTCCTCGCGCTGCTTCAGCGGGCTGGAGCACATCCCGCAGCGGCCCTACTGCACCAGTGTCACTCAACCAGCCACAGACACGCGACCAATGGCAGAGCGGTGGAGGCGGGACCAGAGAGGGAACCCGATTCCTCCTCTCCCCCAGTGGACAGAACCAATGAAGGGGGGAGGGAGAAGAGAAATGTGTTGTGGGCGTGGCCTGGGGCTCTATGACGTCAGAAACCCGGACGTGGCCTCTCTTGGGAGGGGGGGTACCCTAGAGGGGGAAAAACAGCCCTAGGTGCGGGGAGGCCTGAGCTCCCCGCCGGCAGGTACGAGCCCGACTGAGTGGTGCTCACGCGCAGCTCTGCAGCCTGGGGGCGGGCCCACAGGCGGCGCAGGGGCCCGGGAGCGTCTGCTCTGTCCAGAGCGCTCCCGCCCCGAGCTAAGGCCCTGCCCCGGCCCTTTCTCCTCCCCTGCCCCGCTTGTCCCCACAGCGCTGGTGGGGCCGGGCCGGGCGGCATGGCAGCCGAGGTGAAGGTGACGGGGCAGAGCCAGGAGCAGCTCCTGTTGCTGGCCCGGTCGGCTCGCGGGGCGGCCCTGGTCAGCCTCATCCACCAGGTGCTGGAGGCGCCCGGTATCTACGTCTTCGGGGAGCTGCTGGATCTGCCTAACGTCCGAGAGGTGAGCGCCGGCTCTGCGGGGGCTGTGCTGCAGGGGCTGGCGAGGGCATGGTGCGCTGCCCGGCGGGAGGAGGGCCCCCAGGGCTCGAGTGGTGCAGGCGGAGCTGGGTCAGGTCGCTTCTTGCCAGCCCAGCACAACTGTGAGCCGCTGGTTGGTCGGAATCCCTGGTGTTATCCCGGGAAACTGCAGCTCAGCCTGCTGCCATAGGTGCTGGAGCTAGGGATGCTGGGGGACCTGCCGAACTCCTGGCTGAAAGTGGTTTCCATCCTACACAGGGTTTGGTTCAATGGCTCTCAGCACCCTACCGGTGCAGATGGTTCCAGCACCCCAGCTGCTTCCCGAAATCTGCTCCTGCCGCTTTAGTGGGGTTTGTTTAGTTTCCCTAAACTCTGTGCTTGGGGCTGTGGAGCATGTTAAGCAACTGCCATTCCACCCCTCGTGCAGCTGTGTTTTGGTGGGTAGCTGAATCAGTCACCGTTACCTAGATTGAAAAACACTTGGGGCCTGTTGGCTGGGAAAAAAGCAGGGAAATGGGAGTTGTGTTAGACGTGTCCCACTGTGCCCTGGAACTGGGGATAGGGGTTAGGTTGTAGTGTGCAAAGTTTCATGCTGTTTTTATTGAGTGCTTTTTCTCCCCTGCAGCTGGCTGAAAACGAGTTCTCCTCCGTCTTCCGTCTGCTCACCCTCTTTGCATACGGGACGTATGCTGATTATTTGTGTACGTGTGTCATTCTCTTATAACCCCCATAGCCTAGTGCTCCAGGATGTGGGCCAACACCTGCAGTTGTCTCCTAGGAAGCAGGAAAGGTGGATAGGATTGCCAGCTTTCTAATTGCAGAAAACTTTACACCCCTACCCCTTCTTTGAGGACCCACCCCCTTCATTCCATCCCCCGCCTCCGTCACTTGCTCTCCCCCACCCTTGCTCACTTGCTCATTTTCATTGGGCTGGCTCAGGGGGTTGGGGTGCAGAAGGGGGTGTGGGCTCTGGGGTGGGGCTGGGGATGAGTGGTTTGGGGTGTAGGAGGGGGCTCTGAGCTGGGGCTGAGGGCCTTGGGGTATAGGAGTTAGCTCTGGGCTGACTGGAGACTAAGAGGAAAAGGGGGCGCAAATAGCACAGGGGCTTCAGGTGGGCTAGAAATGCAAAACAGCTCAGTGAAATTTTGGGTATGCATATGCAGAGGCCTCACATTCCAGAGCAGGGAGGGAATAGTTTTTCTCTCTACAGCTCTGGGGAGACCCCACATAGGATACTCCTCAGTACTGGACCCTTCAATCTCAGAAAGATAGTGACATATTGGAGAGGGCTCAAAGAGCTACAGAAATGCTCAGAGGGCAGAAGGGGTCCTGCAAGCACCATAGCTGGTAGATAGAGCATTGGCCTAGAACTCTGAAGATTGGGATTCTGTTCTAGGCTCTGCTACTGGACTTGCTGTGTGACCTCAGGCAAGTCACTCTTCCTGTGTTGTGTCCCTTCCTACTCTTTATTTATCTTGTTTATCTAGACTGGAAGTTCATTGTGACAGAAACTGTCTCTTACTATGTTTGTGTGTAGTGGCTCGCACAATGCGAGCCTATCTTGTTCGGGGTTCTAGATGCTACTGGAATACAAATAACACAGGGTTGAGTTCTGGGCAGAGATTCCAAGAGTTCAATCCTTGCATTTGACTTCCTGGCTGTGGTGAGGTGAGGAGCGGTGGGGGTGTGTGTGGGGTGGTTATGAGAACCATCTGCTGGTGGTTTGGGGTGTGGACCTTGTGGAGGAGAGGGGATTATTTAGGGATCACCAGAGGAGTAAGGAGCAGGACTAAGGCAAGGGGAAGGAGCTCAGGAACACTTCCTCCATGCTGAGGGGTGTGAGCACTTTAGGAGATGCCTTGCCAAGAAAAGGGTACATTGGAAGCTTTGAGGAATGGATGTCGGGCAAAGGACCTTGGGCCAGGGTGAGATGGGACATCTCCAGCTCTAACATCATGCTCTTTTCCCTGAGAGCAGCCGAAGCTGGAAACCTCCCTCCATTGAGCAAGGCTCAGAAGAACAAGCTGAGACACCTGT